TACGATCTTGGTACATATATAGGTGGTGTGAAATGATTCTGCAAAAGTTTGACACAAAGGGGCCAAGTCGTTATATATTCTGGTTGTGGTGGCATTGAAATCAAAGGTTTGGCACTCTTTGTCAATATGATAATGTACAAGCAGTCGACTCTATTGGTCTGTTAGCAACTTCTTCCTTGAATTATAAGTCCTAAACTGTTTAGTTGTCCATAAATAATAACATTCATGTGATAATTACCGTAAAAGCGAATTGCTGTATGTTTCCATTGTTACGACGCTATCATCACATAAGTGATGTGCCATGCAGCTAAATTGGCCCGACATCTATTTTAAATCTCAAATTGATCCATCGACAACAAAAAAAAGTGTCAAATTTCAATCTTTCATTCTATGTTCTCCGTTGGATCCTTCCAATTTTGCCCCTTAGACCCATCAACTTTAACGATAAGGATGATTGAAAGATCAAAATTTGTTGTTTTTTTATCATTGAGGAGCCAATTTGAAACAATTGTAATAGTTTAAGGCCAACTTATGTAAAAAAAAAAATTTTTAAACTGATCGCTTGTGAGACTCCATGTCACAATTATTTCTCATGTATAACATGGTTCAATATTTGCTCGATTCGTTAAACTAAAGTCTGTATCTTCAAATAAAGAATCGAGAATTTAAGGCCACGGCCAATCAATTTACAGATGTAATAAGTTTATTCCGTGAGTGACTGAAGACCAAGCATGAATGGAAGATACCCTTCAATTACTTGGTTGTGGTTCCCCGTGAAAACAACACCAAATGAGAAGGAAGAAAAGTGCAGCAATTTTTTTTTTCTTTTCATCAACTTTTTCATGACCGTAGAGCATGCAATACAAAAAAGTCAATTTGCGAAAAAGTAACAAATAACGCAAGTTTTTGGTGGTGATTAAAAGTACTTCCAAATTCAATTGATCTACATGCCATATTTACCAAATGATTTTGTTTTTTTGTTCCTAAGCTATGAACAGGCAAAATATGTATGAGGACGTACGAAGTACAAACCCAACAACCCAACAATTTGTTGGTACCAAACCATTGAAGAGAAGTCGTTACTAAGTACTACAGTATATTCTTTGGCTATTTGCACCAGTCCTGGGGCCTAAGTAACTACACTGTTCCAAAGAAATCCTTAGTTGGTGTCACGACTGCTCCCACGTTTTTTAATTTGGGAGGAGCCGCTACGATCGTCGGTCAAAAAAAACACATAAGTAGTGCTCTTCTTCTGGCGAAATTAATTGAAAATATTATATGTTTCATTGGCAATATTTTTTTGTTGGCCATTTGCACAAATGAGAAAAGAACATGCATATAGGTTGCCTAGGCTTGCCCACCAACAGGATGAAAAAATGACATTGTCGACACGAGGCTGTGGGGAGGGTAGCATAGAGATAGAGTTCAGCCCCCGCCGACTACCTGGACTTTCCTTCTCAACAACCTTCAATTTGAACTTTCACCCCTACTTCTGCGACACCAACCTTAGCTATTAGGCACCAGCATGAACAAGTCTCGAGATTCAGTCGCCGAGTAAAAAGATCACAATAACATCAACAACTGACCACGTTCAAAACCTTCTTCATTCATTAGACCAAATTTTACGTGACAGATGATGCTTCATGAGAATATTTGTGCGTCGTGACAAAAGGAAGAACTACTAGACCGAATATTAATTCAGCGTTTAATACTTTGATTTTTTTTTTTTTTGGTTCCTCTCTAAAATTGTACAGATGTCACACCAAAATTTTAATAATTGAGAAGTCTTTGCACGTACGAGGTGCTATATGGATGCACACTTTTTTGTGTTTGAAGGTTTGCGTAAGTTGGATGGAAGGTTGATCCGGCAACTGATCTAGAGCAAGCTTTCTTGAATCAAGAAAGTTAACCCGTCTTCACCATCCAATCAGAAAAGTCATGCTACCTATCCACATTCATTTGAACCCGTCCCATTCATTAATAATTAATTGCGAGCCGATATCTTTAATACTCTTATGAGTTAACAATAATTCTTGGACTTTTTATCAATCCATAGGCACAGGAATATGTTACTTTGGCCCGGCCCCTAAGAAAAACATTTTGTATTGATTAAGTGCGTGCCCACTATGAAATACTCTACAAAACTTGCAAGGAAACCTGTGAATTAAAAATGATGCTCTTCAAACATGACATAATTATAACTAGTTTGATTACTGGTATACAAAAGTATTTCTTTCTCCCGCCTAGATTAGAACCTTTTTTTTTTTTGGAGCTACATTGTCATTGTCTAATTAGTTATAATTTACATTCAAACATGCATGCAATAAATTAGAATATGTCCAATCGCCCATAATATAGTACTAGTAGTTAGATAAAGCAAGACATTTTCCAGGAACACGGGATGAAGACTCCTGTCAACCCGCGTGTTAATTTGGGGTCGAAATGGAATTGTAGTACAATATTTTTTTTTTTTACGATCATCCTTGAATTTGAATACGTTAATCCCTTGGCTCAACAACCCCAAAAAGTCCACGTCATGAACCTCGAGTGGGTTCGGCTGATCATCTCTGAAGTCAATTTTGTTCCTTTACTAAGCACACACAAGTTCATCAGTACTGCGCTATCGGTATTGATCTAATTGGATGGCCCTCTGGAAAAATCACACATAAATTTAATACGTCATTTTAATCCAATGCATGAAATTTCCACTCTTCAATGCCCCACCTTATTGTTGTATAAATAGCCATAAACTCTCTCCACAAATGAACTCAAACCAAACCAGTTCTTTGGACAACTTCCACTTCTCTTCACCGAGAGAAAAGAGAGTGACATTTTTCAAGAACTGGTTGGTGATCGAGTATCAGCTTAAACTTGACCTCTATTTGTACGCTTAGACAACTTCAACCCTCCACCAACCATTTCCTCTGCCCTGTTGGGATACATTTCAAAAGAATCCATACTAGTTCAGCCTCCATTGCCAGAGTTTAATCATTTCTGTTTTCCAAATTTCTCATCTAACTAGTTTTATAAATCCATAAAGAGGGGGGAAATGGAGATAGAGAAAGCGCGAGCTGCTGCGGCCGTAATAAGGCAGGCAAGCCGCAATGCAAGCCGAAACAGGAGCTTAACTGGGGCGCCGAGCAGGAGAGGTTGGGGCGTGGAGGATGTTTTTGGAAGCCAGAAAAGTGGCGGAGCTGAGGACGATGAGGAAGCCCTCAGATGGGCTGCTCTAGAAAAGCTACCCACATATGATCGACTGAGGAAGACTGTCATCAAATCTTTTATTGAAAATGATAGTCACGGCAACAAAATAGTGCACAAAGAAGTTGATGTCCGAAAGCTTGGCCTGGATGAACGTCAAGAATTCATCGACAGGCTCTTTAAGGTTGCAGAGGAAGATAATGAGAAGTTCTTGAAAAAGCTTAGAAACAGAATTGATAAGTAAGTTGTTCTAGTTCTTCACCTTTTTTTTTTTTTACCTTTTAATTGTCACAAGAGTATACGTGAACGCATGAAAATGAAAATGTGAACCTTTATCCATCTACTGACTTTTGCACTTGCAAGAAACGATAGTGAATTTCTTCTGTTCTTCTAGTCAAAACTTACTTCGCAAGTGTCCAAAGTAAGAGGTTTTTAGATTTTAAATTGCCGGTTAAACATTCTTGCACCTAATCTTTCTTACGCGAAATTTTTTATTTTTCCTTCATCATTTGCTAGCCACCAAAAACATTTACCTTGATTTTGCTTTTCACATAGTATTTGATTTTTTTGTTTTTTTGTTTGAAGGAATGAAAAAAATGAAGTTAGTTAATTAGCCTGTTTGACACAAGGTTTATCAAGTTGCAATAGTTGCTCTTGTCGTCTCTACTGTTGTCTAGTAAACATACCCTTTTCATCCTAGCTAGTCACTTTAATTTGATAAAAATAAATAAAAAGACAAACTTGCAGATTAGGTAAATTGTTTGTCTTGATGAACATGTTCCAACGTCAAATTAATAGCAACTCCTGAAGATCATCGAGTAGAAAGCAGCAGTTGGTTCCAGTCCGTGTATTTGGCCATCTCTTGTTCAACTGTTTGATGCTTACAGCAACCAACTTTCTATTGTACTAATATATCATTCTTACACTAAGAACAAGTAAACAACCAAAAGAATAAATGCTGAAGAGCTAAGTAATTACACGCTAGTCCTATACATAATTTATTTTATTCTCCCTGGACATTATTAACTTATGTCAATGATTTACAGACTCCTAATTATATGTTATACCAGCTAGTGAGCCAAACCAACCGTATAGTCAACCATTAAGTAGGTCACCGATATGATGATCAACACCAATATGGAAAAGAAACAGTGCAATTATGAATTATGATGATCAACACCAATATGGAAAATCACATTGTTATGCAGTAAAAATTTTCGTCACTGGATAGAATATTTTACCGTGTTCTTCTGTGCCATGCACTAAGCATTCATTAACAGCCTTGTAATATTTTATGAAGTATTATTACTAATTGAATGCTCTAATCTTATTTTGTGTGTGTGTGTGTGTGTGTATATATATATATATATACAGAGTGGCGATTTCTCTTCCAACGGTGGAGGTTAGGTTCGAACATTTAACCATGGAAGCCGAGTGCTATATCGGGGATAGAGCGCTTCCTACGCTGCCAAATGCCATAAGGAACGTTGCTGAATCGTCATTGAGCTGTCTCGGCATCCGATTGGCTGAAAGAGCAAAAATTACCATACTCAAAGACGCTTCTGGTATCATAAAACCATCAAGGTAAATCGATTGGTCAAGTTTAATATATACTTTTTATTACAAGTTTAATATTGAAAGACCAAAAAAATGACCAGTACCCTTTTTTAATGCAACATTCCCAAGTGTCAAGCCAGCCGTTAGGTCTGTCAGTTGAATTAAGAAACCGAAAATACAAGGCAAAACTGAAGAAAGAACCAAATGAATCAATTTATTTTTGGCTTGGCTTTATCATATGCGAGTAACTGACGAGAATCAATACATAGAGCTGGATAAAAATGGCAGAAAATATGAATTTTGTCCAAGTGGTTTAAACTTAAAAGGGCATGGACTCAGGAACATAAGGAAGCATGGAAGCGTCCATGACTTCCAAGGGGATTATCACAGGCCCCCAGAGGCGTGGCCACCTGCCAATTTTGCAGAAAAAGGATGAAGACATTTTGGAAAATAGTTCCTCGTGAATGCAAGGTTAAACTAATGAGTAATATCAATTTCTATTTGACCATAATAGATGTGATGCAGTGCTAGAAAGCCTCGTTAATCTTCCTTTTTCATTCTTCGAACGCAGCTACGATAACTGGCTTCATTAGAAGGTTATTGACATTTCCCTCAGCTGTAAAAATAGTGTCTTAACTGTTCTCTGTTCTTCCCTTCCTTAAACAGGAGAGATGATCGTCGGGCCAACCAAGACACTGTTTATGGATGAGATATCAACAGGTCTAGACAGCTCCACAACCTTTCAAATTGTGAAGTGCTTACAACAGATTGTCCACTTGACAGAGGCTACCGTTCTAATGTCCCTCCTACAACCTGCTCCAGAGACTTATGACCTATTTGATGATATCATTCTCTTGTCAGAAGGCCAAATTGTATATCAGGGTCCAAGAGTGCATGTCCTAGAATTCTTCGAGAGCTGCGGGTTCAGATGTCCAGAGAGAAAAGGAACTGCTGATTTCCTGCAAGAGGTAATTACAAATGATGCCATCCATAACAATTATAGTTCACTTATCACTTAATGCTATATACACTCAAATGTATCAAATTTAGTACTTCAATTCAGTAACGTAATAGATTCAAACTTACAGATTTCAGTTTTTAGACTTCAGTTTCATAAAACACACCCTTGGTACTTAGCAATTAAGTAGCTTAATCGATTTAGACTTCAGATTTCATATTTTAGTTTTCAGGTTTCAGTTTTATCAAACGCACTCTTAGATAATGAAAATCAGTAAACAAACAAGCAAAATTTAGCAACATTACACAAAACCAGGTCAGACTTAATCTTAATCTTTTGCCTTGTTGATAAAAGGTTACATCAAGAAAGGACCAGGAGCAGTACTGGGCTGACCGAAACAAGCCATATAGATACATATCAGTTGCTGAATTTGCAAAAATGTTCAAACGTTTCCATGTGGGTCTGCGGTTAGAGAATGAGCTCTCAGTCCCTTATGACAAGGCACGGAGTCACAGAGCAGCTCTAGTGTTCAAAAAGTACTCAGTCCCAATGAGAGAGCTTCTGAAAGCAAATTTTGACAAGGAGTGGCTGCTAATTAAGAGAAACTCTTTTGTCTACATTTTCAAGACCGTCCAAATCATAATTGTAGCACTTATTGCATCAACAGTGTTTTTAAGGACTAAAATGCACACCAGAAACGAAGATGACGGGGCACATTATGTTGGTGCATTGTTGTTTGGCTTGATCATCAACATGTTCAATGGTTTTTCTGAACTCTCACTTACCATACAGAGACTTCCTGTGTTTTACAAGCAAAGAGATCTTCTCTTTCACCCACCTTGGGCTTTTACACTGCCCACATTCCTGCTAAGGATACCGATATCTGTGTTTGAGTCTATTGTGTGGATGGTTGTTACATACTACACTATTGGATTTGCCCCTGAAGCTAGCAGGTAAATTATGCAATTTCTATGCAGAAGGCTTATCAATCAAAAGCATGTGGGTTTCTCACCTAAGCACGTGCAATAAACTTAACTGTTTGGTGCTTCCTTCCATTTCCAGGTTCTTCAAACAGCTACTATTAATATTTCTGACTCAGCAGATGGCTGCTGGGTTATTTCGGCTAATTGCAGCAGCCTGCAGAACAATGATAATTGCAAACACTGGAGGAACTCTAGCTCTTCTCCTTGTTTTTCTCTTGGGTGGTTTCATTCTTCCTAAAGGTTAGTATAAAAGGATGCCTGACAAAATAAGCATAGAATCAATAAACATAAGAGGAAAAATGAAATGGCAAAAGATTATAGCTTAAGAACATCAAGCATCTCTGAACAAGTTATGAAGACTAAATAGTAATGAGGCTAACACATGTACTTCATTTTACTACTCTATGTAGTTGTAGAAATGATCATATGAACTTCATATTCCTTTCAAAGAAGATGCTAAAAGTTGATACATCCACAGTTGCATCAGCATTGCCACAAGAAGCAACTGCACAAGTATTCCTAAGTACAAAAATCATGTTATAAGATATGATACATGTTATTGTCTATCAATTAAACTTCATTATAACACAAATTTATTGTTTATATAATTGTTTGCTTTCTGACAGATAAAATTCCAGATTGGTGGGGGTGGGGATACTGGATTTCACCTCTAACGTACAGTTTCAATGCCATGACTGTAAATGAGATGTTTGCTCCAAGGTGGATGAACAAATGGGTATGCCTGCTCAAACTATTACTCTTACTTTAGTTTCAATATTTGATGAAGGCAGGTAGCCAAAAAAAAAACATACACACACACAGTTGAATGGATCATACTACAGATTAAATGTTACAGGTAATTTACCAATGTTCAAGATAAATAAAGATATTTATCTATTTACAGGCTTCCGACAATGCAACAAAATTGGGACTGGAAGTATTAAAGAACTTTGACGTCTTTCCTGAAAGAAATTGGTATTGGATTGGTGCAGCAGCTCTCTTGGGTTTTATATTTCTTTTCAACATCCTTTTCACGTTTGCCCTCATGTACCTTAGCCGTGAGAATTCTAACACAATTCAAACTATATACTATGGATATGTAGTCACAATGGTATATTGATCTTATGTCCTGTATATAACAACAGCTCCTGGAAAACCACAAGCTATCATCTCCAAAGAGCAGGCAAGGGAGATGGAGGATGATCAAAGAGAAGCAATGGGAGAACCAAGACTGATAACAACCAAGTCAAAGAAAGGTTTGCTCAGTCTATCCTAACGTTATGTCAATAACCAGTAAATGTGAAAATTGAAAACTATACACACCTTTATGTAACGCTTTCAGGAGAAATGGCTGTCCTGCCCGTGCACACCCAACCAAGTAGAAATTTGAGCAGTAGAAAAGAAGATACAAGTCTTGAGGCAGCAAGTGGTGTTGCTCCCAAGAGAGGAATGGTTCTTCCATTCACCCCACTTGCCATGTCATTCGACAACGTCAATTATTTTGTGGACATGCCTCCTGTAAGGATCGAAATCCTTATATAACTCTTTAAAAACCATGCAATAGGCTTAACTTGAAGCAGTTTTCCATGCTAAATTACTTTGTCAACAACAAACTTATTTCCACTTTAACAGGAAATGAGAGACCAAGGAATCACAGAGGACAAGCTCCAATTACTTCGTAGTGTAACTGGTGCATTTAGACCAGGAGTCTTAACTGCATTAATGGGGGTCAGTGGAGCAGGAAAGACTACCCTAATGGATGTTCTGGCTGGACGCAAAACAGGTGGTTACATCGAAGGTGACATAAGAATATCTGGATTCCCAAAGAAACAAGAAACGTTTGCTAGAGTTGCAGGGTACTGTGAACAAACCGATATCCACTCACCTCAAGTAACTGTCCGTGAATCATTGATTTATTCAGCTTTCCTTCGTCTCCCTGAAGAAGTCAGCAAGGAGCAAAAGATGGTCAGAAGCAGTATTATCAATCAAGCAGTATTATCAATCAAGCTTGAAGATAATATACTTAACATCTTACGCTTTAATTGTACTTTCTACAGATTTTTGTCAATGAAGTGATGGACCTGGTTGAACTAGACAACCTAAAGGATGCTATTGTGGGACTTCCTGGAATAAGTGGTTTGTCAACAGAGCAGAGAAAGAGATTGACCATAGCAGTTGAACTAGTTGCCAACCCCTCGATCATATTTATGGATGAACCAACTTCAGGCCTTGATGCAAGAGCAGCAGCTATTGTTATGAGGACTGTGAGAAACACAGTGGATACAGGGAGAACAGTTGTTTGCACAATTCATCAGCCTAGCATTGATATTTTTGAAGCATTTGACGAGGTAGGCTCTATAAGACTTAACTATGTTTCATTCATTTATGAACTGTATTCAACATCCTGCTCTCTCGCTAATGTATAGCTTTATTTTGTGCTACAGCTTCTTTTGATGAAAAGAGGAGGGCAAGTCATTTATGCCGGCCCTCTAGGGCGGCATTCGCAAAAAATCGTGGAATACTTCGAGGTACTTAATATTTTCAAACTTCTTGTGAACTTCTACTTGAAAGGACAAAAATAACTGGTCCTCCAAATAATGCAGGCAATTCCCGGAGTCCCAAAAATTAAAGAGAAGTACAACCCAGCAACGTGGATGCTAGAAGTAAGCTCAGTTGCAACTGAAGTTAGACTTGGAATTGATTTTGCTGAAAAGTATAAATCATCGTCACTATACCAGTAAGTAAAATGGGTAACTTTATAACTTAGATTGTAGAAACTACAGAACTGAGTCTGATAAGGATATTTCTAAATGAACAACAGACGAAATAAGGATCTAGTGAAAGAGTTGAGCATGCATCCTCCGGGAGCAAAAGACCTTCATTTTCTGACACAATATTCTCAATCTACATTTGGGCAATTCAAATCCTGTCTGTGGAAGCAATGGATGACTTATTGGAGGAGTCCAGATTATAATCTTGTCAGATACTTCTACTGTTTAGCTGCAGCACTTATGGTCGGGACAATCTTTTGGAGAGTTGGAACCAAAAGGTCTTATCCCTAGTACTTCACAAAAAGCTTTTTTTTTTTATTTTTTATTTTTTTCAGGTTAGAATGAGTACAGACACGGGGGCTGAAGTTTCATGTGCTAATTCCATCTTTTTATTATTTCCATACACCAGGGAAAGCAGTGGTGATCTGATGACCATCGTTGGGGCTATGTACGGTGCTGTTCTTTTTGTTGGGATCAACAATTGTTTAACAGTACAGCCAATTGTTGCCGTAGAAAGAACTGTATTTTACCGGGAAAAAGCTGCAGGGATGTACTCTGCATTGCCTTATGCAATGGCACAGGTGAGGCTTGTGTCAACTTTTAAGTCAGAACAATTAAATCACCAACTCTAATTTCTGGAAGTTCTACTGTTTACAAAATTTTCTACCAAATTTCTCTCTCTTTAATTCTTAAGCTCAGGAAAAGAAACACAACTCTTAAGCTCTAAAAACTCCTATTTCGAAATTAATATCCACGCCTAGTTTACAACAAAAAGAGCCCTGTTTTCTGTATATTACTTCTTGCCACCAAGACTAATGAAACTGTTTAACTTAAAAACAGGTGTTTGCGGAAATACCGTACATACTTGTTCAAACATCATATTATACACTTATAGTGTATGCCATGGTGGGCTTCGAATGGACTGCAGCAAAATTTTTCTGGTTCTACTTCGTCAACTTCTTCTCCTTTTGCTACTTCACATACTATGGAATGATGACTGTTGCCATCACACCAAACCACCAAGTTGCAGCAATCTTTGCAGCAGCATTTTACGCACTTTTCAATCTTTTCTCTGGATTCTTCATCCCAAAACCAGTAAGTCAATCTTTTATACTTGCTTTGCATTTGGTTGTCATTCAGAATCTCTTGTTTGCTAATTTCTTGTGGGTTCAAAATTTCAGAGGATTCCAAAGTGGTGGATATGGTACTACTGGATTTGCCCGGTGGCATGGACTGTCTATGGACTAATCATATCACAATACGGTGATGTAGAGGACACAATTAGTGTCCCTGGGATGAACTTTACACCAAAAATCAAAGATTATATCCAGGATCATTTCGGATATGAACCAGACTTCATGGGACCAGTGGCTGCAGTTTTGATTGGTTTCACTGTCTTCTTCGCATTCATGTATGCTTACTGCATTAAAAACTTGAACTTCCAAATGCGGTAAAAAAATATATATATATATAGCCTATGGTATGAACTGTAGTTGAATTGTAAATAATCATTACATCTACAAAAATCCTCCTATATGAGAGTTGTGTATTAAGTTGTAGAGGGATATATGTGTATTAATTAGAAAATAAACTGCATTTCCTAAGGAAACAAAATTGTAAGCCCAATATCTCTGAGGTAACAAATATTCCATTGCCGAGTTATACTAAACAATAGTTCCAGAACAAGAGCAATCCTAAACAGGACCAGTATGGCTCATGCTTTTTTAATCTAACATCAAAATTGCACCCGTAACTTCTATCATTCCTGAAAGGAAGGATTCAGCATTCCGCAACTCTCTCTAGCTTCTCAATCTCTTTTAATCTTGCGCGCAATTTTTACACTCCACTACAGTCTCAAGTAAGGATTTAGCTTAAAATCAGAAGGAATTATTTTCTACCAAAAAAAATAAGAATAAGAAATATGAGGGGAGAGACCTGATAGCCATGGGCTTCAACTGCCGGAATATGAAGCCGGAACGGTGGCGGAAGAGGTTGTGCTCGTGCCGCAGGAGTACTCCGGTTCGCTGGCCTCCATGGGCCGGCTGGCTTAACTATTTCGCAGTTCAATTCAATGGAGGCCCCGGGATCATGGATTAATGCGATTCTCTTAGCGCTGTAAATTTATCTGATCTGGGCTGGATTTGATCAGCCTGGCCTAACCATCGTGAAAGACAGATGTCCGCTGAACGACCCACTCTGGCCGATGCTCCGCAGCCCAATGTAGTTTTTTCTTTTCCTTTTTTTTTTTTTCCTAACTTCTTACCCCTCCCCACCATAGTTATTAAACCCGGCCCGGAAAGGAGACCGCGAAGGAGGTCGGTCAACGGATTACTGGTTCAACCGGTGGGTGAGTGGTTGAACCAGTGGGTCACTAAATATATTTAAATATTATATCTTATAATTTTTTATATAGGATATATGATATAAATTTTAATAAATAATGTCATAACAAATGCTCATTTGATTTAATTTGCTATAGAATAATTAATTTATATAAGAATCATCAAAACATAAATTTAATTAGTGATCCACCAAATTTTAAGTGTAAAATTTTATCTATGTTTAGTGTAATTATCTAGGTTACTTACAAATTTTAAGTGCATAAAATTATTAAAAACAATATTTGTCTTTAAAATAAATTATGTAATATGTTATTTTTGAAATCTATTTTATAATTTATAGAATTTGGTGGTCATAAGTTTGTATTAAAAGATTCCAAATAAATTTGTTTTGGAGAAATAAAAAAAGAATAAATATAAAATTGATAAAACGTTCATATAGCGTAAGAATCATAACTAATTAACATGTAGCGAAGTAGCCTGGTGGGGAGCTTGTCATAAACCTTACCTAAAGTCATAGGTTCAAATCCAGCCAACAATTTTGTAAAATTTTTTCCTCAAAACCGGTTTCTTCACAAAACCGGCCGGGTTTCCGGTTTAATCCGGTTGAACCACTGGGTCGTTGACTAGTCAACGACCCAGTGCTTAACCGATCTAATTAGAAACCCGGCCCGGTCTACTGGCGGGTACACCGGGTTGACCGGTTCGACCGCGGGGCCGGGCCGGGTTTTATAACTATGCTCCCCACAGCTCTTTCCAAACCCTACTAGACACAAAGTCTAAATACTAAACCTAACAGTGGGAAGAATTTTGCTCCGACTATTAAACCAACTTCGATGGTTACAGTCCAAGGTAGTTGGATGCCTTTTTTTTTTTTTCTTTAATCAAATTTTGAATAGAATTTAGATTTTTTAATCACTTTTATCATTCTGATCTTCTCAAAATCTTTTTTGGACTAGACGCTGATATGCGATTATTTATCTGAACCAAAGAAAATAAAAACAAAAAAAAGAAAAATAAAGGTATAAAGAGTTATTAATTAAATACTATCCCAAGTTCTATTAATTTAATTTAACAATCGTAATTAGTTCTTGATACTGGGTGAATGAATCTTAACTAGAACTACCGGCGGAGCTTGCAAGCAGGGAAAAAGCTCCTGAAGCATTTCCTGAAGGATTCGAGAGCACTAACGCTGCAGACTTTATTGATTCTCAAGGTGAAATAGAGACGACGCTTATATAACTAATTGAGTAAATTTTATATACTCTGTCAGAGTCGGTGTATATAGTATTATAGTTAGATAGATGACACGTGAGTAAATTTTAAATTCAAATTTTGTGCATGTATTATATATTTAATGGTGACTTTGTTTGGATTCCTCAATTTTTAAAAAATAATTTTTTCATATACAATGTTACAATAATACACAAATAAAAATAACTCAAAAAACACATATATATACAATATGTCAAAAACAACTCCAAATATATAAAAAAAATACACCACTATCCATCACTCTCCACCACTACGACCACTGTCTTACCGTCACCACACCCACTACCCTCTCTCCTCCTACTTCTCTATTTTTCTTCCTTCTTTCTCTCTCCTTCTCCTTCCTTCTTTATTCTTTTCCTTTCCCCGCCCCCCAATTTCCTTCCCCTCCATTGATCGCAACCCTCCTAGTCACGATCAAATTTGATCGCGACCAAAAACCTCAACCAAGACGGTTGTGGTTAGAGTAGTGGCTAAAGTCGCAGCCACCACCCTCGAGCGGGAGAGGGGTTTGGGGTTGGGGGGAAGGATGAGGGCGGGAGAAAGGGGGGAAGGAGATGGTGGTAGGTAGTGTAAAATTTTTTTAAAAAAATTATAAATTATAAAAATATTCAAAAATATATTTTTAAAATACCTCTAAAAACAATCCAAAAAATATCTATACTACAAATTTTTTCACATATACAGTTACTAAATTTTTTTAAAAAAATCCCAAAAAATAGCTAATCCAAACAAAGTCAGTGATAATCTATACACTGACAATGTATATAAAATTAATTATTACTGATTTCTGTTTATATTTCCCAGTTAAATTTATACGGTTATTATTGGGTAAAAAAAATACATAACGAAAGCAAGAGTTTGGAGTCCGAGGGACAGCGACAGAATTGACCGTCTTCACTCACTTTTTGCAAGAAATCCAGCACGTGCCAGCCTCCAGAGTCACGCACCCGGACGATCTTCCATTGCCTCCATTACAGGAGTTCCCGTTCTTTTTCCTCTTGTGAAACTGGTAGCTGCTGGGTCTAGGTGTAGTTGCTTGGACGGATATCTGGTGTTGAATTCTAATCTCACAAAAAGGTGTGGACCCTCTAATATCACTAAAAGTCTTAGATGAGTAAGTTTGAGCTCAGGGCCCGTAGAAACTAGATTACTACTCAAGCCCACTAGAGTTCAGGTCCGAACTCAAGTTGAAGCCTAGTTAATTGGATCTTTTACGTGAGTAACATAATCGTGTATAATATATCACAATTTAAGATTCATGTATTTTTTTTTCTCTGTCTATTCAGTAACCTTCAAATACGCACAAAGAAGGTGGGTCTGCTACTATTAAAGTACATCCACCTAAGTCAATACTTTCATTTAAAAAATTCAAAATAATATGAAGGTCACTTCTTAAGAATTAATTGAATTCACTGAGCTTGCAAGCTAAGCACTCTTATCTGAGATTAACTCGAATTCGACTCAACTCAAGTGGGCTGAAGCCGGCTTAAATATGAATCCAGTCCGGTCACAACTCCCAAGCCCACTCCAGTGGCCCTCTGTGGAGTTTGACGTTTTGAGGGCGGTCGGTCAGCCAGTAACTCCAATATTTTGATTGCTCCTGCGCTAGAATGAACGAGTAAAACGAGAAAATTAGAAAATCCACTCCCTTGAAGGGAGGCGTTAATGCACTGTGTCTACTGTATTTGGACCACAGAACCGCGGAGGTAGCTAGGGATGAAAAGTGGGGCCCCTGTAAATGAATGGTTGAGAAAACGGCTGAACGCATCGGTCAAATTGCGTGTGGCAGCCATTCACCAGAGAGATAGCCCACCACCAATGACCAAACCCCAACAAATTAAATTATTCGGGTGGGCCGGGCCGGGATGCGATGGGGGTTGTTGCTTGCTTGCTGGAGGCAGCGAGTCGACGCGGTTTCTCGTCTGCCATTGAATTGAAAAGGGCTGGAAATTGGAAATAATTAGTAAATCCAATTCTACGTATTAGTGCGCTTAAACAGTTGATTATTAGTACATTTAAGTTTTATTTCATTTAGCATGCAAATTTACGCCTTCATACTTATTAGTATATAAAAAACTACTTGCGCTTTCAAATCGAGTTTGGAGCTTGGAAGATCCATTCTCTAATCAACACACAAATAGATTATTTGATTACCTGGTTGTCAAACCCAATTAACATAGCATCAAGATTTGCTCCACTGGAATTTGAATAAGCTAATTAAAACCTATTGCCTAAAAACAACTCGACCTTTTTTGGACAAGGGGTACGCTGCAACCGTTCCGGATGATTTTGGTCATTTTTAACTGTGCGTAATTTTCTTTGTATATCACGTAATTTTTTTTGCACATCGCGTAACTTTAGATCAAATTTTTATGGGATTCACACATGGCGTGAAAATCGACTTACAACTTATAATCTCAACCGCATAAATTTTTAATATCAGATCATGACTATTAACCGTTCAAGAAGGACAGATGACCGTTCCTGCCCCATTTCCACCTTTTTTTGAATCGCCAACATCAACATCCCTTTGCCTACAAAACGCCACCTAACTCATCAACCATGCAAAGAGCGTGGCATCCATTTGCCTGTTAAAAATTTATTATTGTTTGTTGGGCCAATTAACTTTATTTTTTATTTTTTTGTTCATAAAGATTATAAATGTTTTAACTATGCTAAATAGTAACAATTTTGACGTAGCCTAAATCAGATGGAGATACACCCAATTCATTTTTTTCATAACACGTTACAGATGCTTATACTCCCTCCGTCCCGTTTTGTTAGTCTTGATTTTTTTTTCACACAGATTAAGAAAGTGTAATTAATTTGGTTGGAAATATAAATTTAGATTAATAATTTCCTAAAATACCCTTATGCTAATCACGAATAGTGCCAATTAATATCAGTTACAGTTAATGGGTTAGTATTGAAAAAACTCAATGTATTCAATGTAGTGGATTAGTATTTAATAACAATGTATTAATAACAAGATATTTAATAAGGATATTTTAGATAATTTGAAAGATTACTACATTTCTTAATGGGAAAGTGGATTACAATTTGGGATTGACGAAAAAGGAAAACAAGACTGTCAAAGTGGGACGGAGGGAGTATAAAATAATCAAATCGACTCTCTTATCTCTGCCTCAATTTCTTGTTCAATAGGCACGCAAGTTTTTGCAATTAAAACGTGTTCTTGTGCGCCAATATTTTGACACAACCCAATGTTTACGTGGCCAAATGTTTGGGGCGTCAAGAAATCCGTGGTCATGGTTGTGTGCTAGGCTTTGGTAAACATGCAACCACTGGCCAAAGTTGTTGGGGGAACCAAGCCCCTGGCCCAGGATGAGGGTGAGGATGAGGATGAGGAGGATGATGGACCGAATGGAATTATCGCTGCATCCTGGGTAGTCAGTAGTCACATCACACCATTGGAGAATAGGATCGATGCATGAAAGGGAGTCCCAAGTCCCAAGTCCCAAGTCCCTGCCCTTATTAAGTTGTGCAGTATTATATCCATTTCAAAACAGTGACCCATATTAAGAAAAAAAAAAACTAAAAATCGTGGAGG